CTCTTTCCCTGCCTCTCTGACTTTTCCCCTCATCCTCTCTTTCAGCTGTGTACTTTGTACACGTCATCAGGACCTGTTCCACACTTTTTCTCTCCACAACTCTCACAATTATCATCATTCCTTTTTCCTATTAAAAATAAAAAGTCATTTAAATAAGAAAGCCCCACTCTTAGTCTCATTATAATTACATCATCTCTTCTATTTCTTTCTATTAATTTCTGTATTTTTACTGAGTTTTGTATTCTATATAATTTTCTTCCTTTTTATCCTCATTCCATTTTTTCTGTCATATTTCTGTTTCTTTCTCTCTGATTATTGATTTGCCTTCACCTTTTCCAGATGTGATAGGGATAGTTATTTGTCCTCCCAAAGCCTTTTTGTTATTTTATCTGCAGGTTTATTTCCCTTCACCCCCTCATGTGCTGGTACCCAACAAAAATGACCATCTGTACCTCCCCTGTGTAGCCTGAACAAACTGTGATATACTTCTAATATAAGATCTTTTCTACAATTTCTTTTAGAGTTTAAACTTTATATGGCTGCCTTTGAATCTGTGTAAATAACCACTCTGTCAGGTCTGACCTCCTCCACCCACAGAAGATTGAAAATTATTTCCACCATCTCTGCTGTGAACACTGACAGTTGGTCTGATAAAAACTTGGATATTGTTATTTGTAATTCAGGAATATAAATTCCAGTTCCCACACACCCCTTTGTATTTTTAGGTCCATCTGTGTATATTTTTAGATAATTAAAATAGGATTGTTTTAGGTAAATACTGGTTTTAACCACTATTTCATCCAGGTTCCATTTTCTTTTCATTTCCATAACTTTCATGTCAGTTTTATATTTGGATTTAACCATGGAGGGACAGCACTTATTGAGTTAATCTTGGAGAATGTTTTGTTTTCTAAACCACAAATTGATGCCCATTTATTCCCTGTCCATCCAAACCCAGCCCTTTGAAATGTGGAATACTCCCAGCACTTCTGAAGGATTTCTGTTGCAGGATTTTCTTCTTCGTTACCTTTTAGTTTAATCCAGTAAGTGAGGGACGACCTTGTTCTTCTCATTTCTAATGGAGTCTCTCCGGTCTCTATTAAAACAGCATTGGTGGGAGTGGACTTTACTGCTCCAGTACATTTTCTTAATGTCCGGTATTTTAATTTGTCAAGAGTTTTTAGTGTTGTCTTTGCTGCTGAACTGTAAACTATACATCCATAATCTAATGTAGATCTCATTAGTGCTCTGTATGTATTTAATAATGACTCTTTATCTTCTGTATATATTTAATAATGACTCTTTATCTTCTGTATATATTTAATAATGACTGGTTATCTTCTGTATATATTTAATAATGACTCTTTATCTTCTGTATATATTTAATAATGACTGGTTATCTTCTGTATATATTTAATAATGACTCTTTATCTTCTGTATATATTTAATAATGACTGGTTATCTTCTGTATACATTTAATAATGACTCTTTATCTTCTGTATATATTTAATAATGACTGGTTAT